AATGTTGAAATCAGTGAAGGTATATGATCAATAATTGATATATATTACAAAAATGATGATTTGGAAATTTTAAAATCTTACTTAATCAATAATATAATATAAAATATATTGCCTAATTATATTTTGCTTAATTAGTGAGCATTGAACAAATAAAATTAATAATAAATTCTTAAATAAAATAGTTAAACGCAATATTAAAACTCAAATTTTCTTTTCTTAATATATCTTGTATTATTTAAATTGCTGTATAATAAAATTTAGTTTTAAAGTATTGGTTGTTTGAGAAGTCATATGAAGTTGAAGTACAAGAATAATAGCGATATACAAATGAATTTTTGATAAATTATCTATAAGATTTATCAGATATACTTAGTGCTATTGCATATTTGCAGCTATCTATATTTCATAAACTGAATAATGAAGAATTGGATTAAGTATTGAGCATTCCCATAACCAGTCAATTCAAATGAATGAATATACTAAACCATCATTATATTTATGTGTAAATATTCCTCTTAATATAGCATATGATATACTATTTTCTTCCTGGATTTGCACTATGTCACCAGAATGAAAATTCATATATACATCAAATGTACTATCATTATTTAGCAAAGTATAACTAATTTGTTTGTAAAACTCTACATGTCTATATATCAACGTGGATTTTTTTTGCATATAAATATCATATGCGCTTATAATGTCATAAGTGAACTGAAAATTATTATCAAGGTTTACAGGTAAAGAAAAGTGGCGAATTTTACTTTTTGATAAACATTTTCGTGTTTTAATATTTCTTATTTTATTATCATATGATGTAGCATTTGTATCTATTACAAGAATTACAATGATTGTAATGAGTATTAGTAAAGATTGCTAAAATTTTTAGTAATATTACCTGGTTTAGAGTTTATATTCACCGTATTGGCTAGACGGTTTTGAATACTTGACGATATTTTGAATTTTAGTAATTGAAAATTAATATAAATATACTTACCAATATCTGCTATATCCTCTTCTTGAATATTCTGTATTATATACCAATTGGATAGTAGGAGTTTAAGCAATGAATCTATTGTTAAATTTTGAAAACTTGACCCTATGCTTGGGAAATGGCTATCTTTGTCTCCATTGATAAGATAATGGATTGATTGGAGTGTATTATGCCGATGAATGAAATCAAATTCTATATTCTTACAATTAGTTTTAGAAACTGAACCTTTGAATGTTTTGTGCACAGCTTCTTTTACATTCACAAAGATATTTATAAACGTCCTGAAATTGCAAGCATTCTGAACATGATGCCAATTTATATGTAAATTTGGTGAATTATTGAAACTATCTGAAAAAAGCTAAAATACAATAAAATAAATAATATTAATTATATTTCATATTGCACCAATAGAATTAGATTAATTTATAATAAAATCATTCTTCATTATTAAAACTACAAAGGGTATTTCAAAGTTTCTCTAATAACTTAAAAATATGTATTGCCCTCTTAGATTTAATATTGAAAAAATACAATTCATTAATCTTTGTACTTTCTTACCTACAGCATGGTATGCATCTTGAGGCATTTGTAAATGCTAGTTTCGTGCTAGAAGATTCAGAATACTAGAACGTGCGCTTAGACCATGTTCTGTACAATAACTATTGATTATTTTTTGTGATGCCCTCCTTTTTACTAATTCTTTTAATTTACTTATTTTCTTATCTGTAATATAATGATATCAGGTATTAAGCTTAATATCAAAACTAAGATCATTTAATTGTTTTTTAGACACCAGACAACTTCTATACCCTGACTACCACTATAATATTTCATATCTCCAAGGTCGTTGTCTTGAGAAAGATCTGTAGTTATTACGCCTAAACCGGCAACTATCCACATGTCCTGACCTTCAATATTCATTAAAGTACCTTTTTCTAGAATTTTAATTTCATTTACAATTGGTTTCATTATATCATCAAATTTACCTTCGAATGGAACAAAGCCCAAAACAAAGTAGTTTTTAAATTGTTTTCTTAAATGTAAGGGCATGTTACAAATTTGAAGGTAAATTGTACCCAATGAATAGTATACATTACAGAACATGCTGAAATTATCATAGAAATATCTAGCATTATTTTTAATATTGGTATATTATTAGGTGCTGATACTAGAATTTGGGTATATTCAATTGAATAGTAATGCCGAAGTTTATAGTTCCTTATTTTCTACTGACTTTCATGGCTATATAAAATTTTTCTCATATAAAATTGATAATTGGGTGGCTCTGATGTGTCTTGGAGCCAAACTTTAACTAGTCCAATAACAGTAGATAAATCAGTTAAGTAGATCACTTCATTTAACTATAATTCACCATTTTGTGCCCTTCTGCTCTTGCTGAACTTAAAAAAATTTTTGGAATTTCAGAACCAAAATAAAGAAGTTGAACTTTCAACTTGATTCTACTAGAAGTTGAAACTATCACTATAATTCTTCTTATTCTTATTTCATTGTTCCTGTATTTAATAAATGATCCTATTTGATATAATTCTAAACATTATTTATATTAATTAGTTATGATAATTAAATAATTATTATTTAAATTATGCTCACTAGCAAGATAAATATTCCCAAAAAATAAATATTATTAGTTTAATAAAGTATTTAGATATACTGTATTTTTATGTAATAACGTCTACCTGCGTGTTATTTTGAGTATATACGTGTTAATTAGAGTACACGCATGGGCGTTATTTTGAAACAAGTTTCGATTTTTTGATAACCCTAATTTTTCAAATAACACCCATGTGCATTATATATAAATATTTATATAGCAGCAAGTTTCTTTTACCAGAGTTAATATCACTCGCACAGTAGCAGCATATGAGAATGGCATTAACTTCATTGAAAAAAAATAAAAATTGATATTTTTCTTCATTTACTAATATTGTGCACTTAAATAATTACCTGACAGGATATCGATACTAAAAATCAGTGTAAAAAAGTAATTAGTTGAAGAGGAGAGTAATCAGTTAGACGCAAATTCATCATGTGAATTTATCTAGCTAGCAAGTTTATATACCTCTTTTCTT